TATATACCGCAATAAATTCGGATAGAGATGGTCCTATAATAGGTTTGAACATGGTACTTTCCTTTAGTACGCGAAATGATCGTATAAACTTAACATAAATAGACTAACCGCGAAGACCGGCCTTTAATTAAAACAATTGTTTTATGTTTCGAACACTTAAGGAAAACGTGAAGTGACTGTGAAATAGGCAAAAATGTCATCAAGAACTGTTTGGAAACTACGTAACTACGAGAAACAAGAAATCACGTCCTACGACACTCTTCACAGGAAAGCTGTAGACCAGGTAACTAACTGACTTATTTTATTTGTAACAGCACCATATTCATCATGAATTACTCACTCGAACTTGAACTAGCCAATTCCCAAATAATAAATTAAGTGGACGAAAAATTCGACGTGTATTGGCGCATACACTAGGGGCATTTTGACAACCTTACGTAGGGATAGCCGAACTCTCAAAATCTTTTGAATTGCATTTGTTTGTGTTTATATTACTTTATTATTTATAGTAAGTAGGGACCTTTAGAACGAAGTTAGGGCCGGACATAGGGATATTTTATTACATGTAATCATCAAAGTGCGGTATCATCTTATGAAAAATAGGATGAAGTACTCATAGAAAAATTCTTTGATTGTATTTTTTCTAGGGTGATCCTTAATAGAGGTGTTTTCGAATTTTTATGTTCCCAGGGACACAATAGCTTCAGAATTGATAAAAAAAGGTTCCTGAGCATTTGAGCTCATAATATTGACTCTAACATAGTTTGCTTTTCCACCAAGATAGATTTTTTCTGGAAGCAACATGTGAATGAATCTACAATAATGAAATGTACATAGGTTACAATTAGAAATTCTCGACCCTTCTGATAGATATTTTTGTAGAAAATTTAACGTTCTATAAAAAAGGTTGTCCGAGATTTGTCGCTAAGTCGTCTACTGATTCAAAAGTTACTTGAGGTAAAACCTTCATTTATATGAAATTATCAATATTATCAACTATACAGGGTATAACAGAATAAGCGCCGAGCTTTGTAGACGCAATGAATAATCGCACACTAATTCTGGTAATTACCAGCTAATTCAGTGCGGCGTTGCGGGTCGTATTCTTGTACCAGGACCGGAACTGAATTTACCTGTAGGTACGTTCAACTACATTTTTTTTCAAACATGGCTAACATTTGGACATACAAACATTTACTTAATTTTCATGTTTCATAGTGCTGCACTCACTCACTTCTGCAAACTCGGCAGTTATTTCTCTTACACTCTGTATTTAAGCATTAAGAAACTTCAAATCTTGTTGACTTGGTCACAATACCAAAAAATCATATTATTGTCAATAATACAACTTACAAAAAATATAAAATATATTTCGTTATGCAACTGTTTATTTTATAGATATAATTAATGATATTGATAATTTCATATAAATTATAGTTTGATCTCAAATGACTCCTGATTCAGTAGACTTAGCGACAAATCTCAGAGGACCTTTTTTGTTTGTCATAGTATTTTAAAGAACAAAAAATGTATTCCACATGTTATTTCTATAATAAACCCTGGTTAGACAACGGATTATCTTAGAATTGATATTAGGAGCTCAAATGTTCAAGGTCGTTTTATCAATTTTGAATCGTTTGAACCTCTGGAAGCATAAAGCCCCTGTTAAGCACCACCCTAATGTCTCATGACTCATGAGTGAAAGTGCATGACTGGGTGAACGGATGGAATATGGTTTTTCAATCACGTCAATCCGTAAATATAACCTGCTTCTCTAGAAACTGTCCTAACTTATTCTGATCTCACCTAACCTAACCTAACCTTGGAAACCTTTTTAACAAAAAGCGTAACGCTCCACAAAGGCAATAAATTACATTTACTGGATCTAGATATATAATCCTCTATTATTTGAGTTGGTGCTATTCGCGAACGTGTCATTTGCGAACAAATGAGATTTAGTGTCACTTGCGAACAGCAATAAGTAGCCTTGGGTTGACCTAGAAATTATAGTTTCATTTGCGAACAGACAGTAAGTTATTTAGCCTCTGTTATATAGGGGTTCCATCTATTCGGAGTATATCTTTGGTATAGGTACATCTTCCTCCCGTGCTTGTTTTTTTTGCCGAAAACAATCCTTTCTTTACTTCAATAAGAGCCATATCCGGCTTACAAGAATGTGGTGTGACTGACATTATTCATCACACTTGCTCTTTAACATTTCTTTGCACTGTTGTTTTTTCTCTTGAATACATAACCAAGTGATAACACCTTTGCTGTTTTCACGACACTTTCGATATTGATAACCATCGTAGACCAAGGAAGGCTTTCCTTTTGCGGTTTCGATAATTTCCATTTTCGAAAAATGTAACGTTAAGCCGTTAAGGTTACAAATCTTAACTTCACTTCTTAAAATCGCAAGGATTAATGAAATAATACTACCACCTCTTGTTATTATGTTATTGGTTGATAATTTATTATTACCTAGTTCATTATAGTAATCACTACATAGTATAAAACAAAGTCGCTTTCCCGCTGTCTGTCCCTATGTATGCTTAAATCTTTAAAACTACGCAACGGATTTTGGTGCGTTTTTTTTTTTAAAGATAGAGTGATTCAAGACGAAGGTTTATATGTATAATACATGCATAATACAGTAGGGAAACACTGATAATTCTAGAGGTTTCTAATGTGATATCGTAAATAAACACATTTTTTGCGCTTACATTGCAAACGCTGGNATTATACGGTATAAAATTTTAATAATCATAATAATTATTTCTGAAAGGGGATTGTCGTTTTTTATTTAGACAGAGGAAAATCGCCTAATTTTGGATATTCCATTACTGCTAAACCATCACTTTCCGAGATCTCTTTCATCTTGGTAGTTTCCCTAAAACTAGCACATCCAACATCCTTAACTATTTGTGAACACACTCAGAAAAATGCTGTAAGAAAAATTACTATAACGTAGAGGTCTTTTTGTAGAAAATGCGACTCAAGTTTGTAGTAAGGTTAACTACGGTAAACTTAAATTTGTAGGAGAAATATTGTTGTTTATCATTTCATTTCTATTAAACAGATACAACCGAAATAAATAAAATGTAGTTGTTCGCAAATGGACCTATAATTATTAAGAGCACCTGGATCTTAATACGAGTATTCGCAAATAACACCAAAATGTAGTTGTTCACATCTGAAACGTTCGCAAGTAGGACGACACCTTATTATTTATATGAAAAGATAGTTTGCACGAATTTCGCAATGCCACTGCGTATTTTTCAAAAGTGTTTCCGCCCTTTGATGACCGCATGTAATAGAATATCCCATTCCTCGGTCCCGATTTCGCCGAAAGGTATTGTAAATTATAAAATAATACCTATACACAAAGGATTTTGATGAAATTGACAGTATACATATAGATAGGAAGGCAAAGCGTTCACCGCTAATATATGCATACACTTTTTGAAAAGTTTCATTCTCTTTGCACGTTTCAAACAGGCATTAAACTTTGATATTGAATTTATGGTACCTACTTATGGCAAGATTCAATATCAGTAAATTATGTTTACGAATAAAAAAACTGCCAAACTGTGATTCGACCTAACTGTTATTATTAACTGCATGGTTTGCTGTCAACATTTTACAATTTATTCTGTAGGGTACCAGATACTAATAGCACCAATAATTTGATAATTTACAACTACTTAATTTTCCATGCATTAATGAATTCATTTATTGAATTAATTTTATTCATTAGTGTAAAAAAAAAAAACTTTTGGGTGTTTCATTCCCACCAGCTACTAACGTTGGTGGGCTGGCAGTTCCTCCGGATTACACCGAAAGGTAGTGCGGAAGGCCCTCTTCAGCCTGCTTTCAGGAATCATGGGAATGGGTGGGTGGTGTTTCGGGTGAGAAAGATGAAACGAATAAAATGAAGACAGAAGAGAGTAAAATCTGTGGAATATTACTACCCCACGATTTGCCTAAGTGATCCAAAGAAACCATAGAAAAACCCGGAATCGAATCGGCGTTCTCCCGAATCAATGGTCTAAACCTCTGGGTCATGCCGCTCGATTGGTGTAAAAGTGTCTCATTAGTAATAATTCATTTTGCTTTGTATACACCTAATAATCTATATTGATGCCAATTTTCAAGTGTCGAAGTCACCTAGAAGTGGTCCCATAATTTAGATGAGTTAGTGAGTGATAAAAATAACACTACTTCAGACAGAAATAACTTGAGAACTTCCATAGTTTCATTTATAAAATTTTAAATATTGAGTTATTTTATGGGACCTCATTAAACATGCAAAATTATAAGTCTGTAGGTGTAAAACCTTTGGGGGATCGAAAGCAACTTAAAAAGATTGGTGTAGATAAGTATAGGTATATACACTGTCACCCTGCTTTTTTTCGAAATAAGTACGACCTATTGCTGACAGGTCCGGCAGATAATGTAGGTACGGTGAGTAGTTGTACCCCCTTGAATAATTCCGGGTGGGTATTTTCCTTTTGTTTATAGGTATTATTTTACCTACCTGAAATTTTACGTTATTTCATAATTAGACACATACGACTTGAGCATTANTTTCAGACCTGGATCGCGGTCTACTTTAATACAAAGTTAATTAGTGAGATATCCCAGACGGACAGTAATTGAAGTCGCCCTATACAGTAATTTAGCGTTAGAAATTGTAATGGATTCTCCACATATGAAGCGCAGCTTCGTTTTTGTGCATCCCTTGACACATGTCACTCATTTCGTTTGTCTAATTGTGACAGGCATCTACCGTAACAATGCCTCTGACAGTGGCTTGTTTTACGTAATTTCAAACTTTTTCTACAGAAAAATGCCTCATTTAGGTAGGTAGATTCGCTTAAATTCCGTTCTTTGTTCCGTTTAATTAGGAATTTTCTTTGAAAGACGTTCATCTTCAGGCGGGTCATGAATACATGTATAAACTAAAGTACGTTCCAACTATCTTTTGTTTAACGTTGCATTAATCTTCCTACACTATGCTAATTATTGGATTTAATCTCCACTTATATACAAATACATACTTATATATACGTATGTTGGTGGGTATCTCAGAAAGGCTGAAATTAGTTTAGTGTAAAATATATTGCTGTCTACTTTTATACGTTAGAACACGAGCATCTTGTGTACCTATTTCAAAACAAAGATTTATGGGATATTGTAAGTCTAATCAGGGCTAAAATTTAAATAGAAAACAGATACAGAGTCTAGCTCTTTATATCTCCGCATCCAACGCTAATTCTCGCT